ATAGTTGAGCTCTCATGCAGGGTTAATCAATGTATTTCACCTCGTGGTTGTTGGGTTGCTTGTTAAGGGTAAATGGAATAGTTGAGCTCTCATGCAGGGTTAATCAATGTATTTCACCTCGTGGTTGTTGGGTTGCTTGTTAAGGGTAAATGGAATAGTTGAGCTCTCATGCAGGGTTAATCAATGTATTTCACCTCGTGGTAGTTGGGTTGCTTGTTAAGGGTAAATGGAATAGTTGAGCTCTCATGCAGGGTTAATCAATGTATTTCACCTCGTGGTTGTTGGGTTGCTTGTTAAGGGTAAATGGAATAGTTGAGCTCTCATGCAGGGTTAATCAATGTATTTCACCTCGTGGTAGTTGGGTTGCTTGTTAAGGGTAAATGGAATAGTTGAGCTCTCATGCAGGGTTAATCAATGTATTTCACCTCGTGGTTGTTGGGTTGCTTGTTAAGGGTAAATGGAATAGTTGAGCTCTCATGCAGGGTTAATCAATGTATTTCACATCGTGGTTGTTGGGTTGCTTGTTAAGGGTAAATGGAATAGTTGAGCTCTCATGCAGGGTTAATCAATGTATTTCACCTCGTGGTAGTTGGGTTGCTTGTTAAGGGTAAATGGAATAGTTGAGCTCTCATGTAGGGTTAATCAATGTATTTCACCTCGTGGTAGTTGGGTTGCTTGTTAAGGGTAAATGGAATAGTTGAGCTCTCATGCAGGGTTAATCAATGTATTTCACCTCGTGGTTGTTGGGTTGCTTGTTAAGGGTAAATGGAATAGTTGAGCTCTCATGTAGGGTTAATCAATGTATTTCACATCGTGGTTGTTGGGTTGCTTGTTAAGGGTAAATGGAATAGTTGAGCTCTCATGCAGGGTTAATCAATGTATTTCACCTCGTGGTAGTTGGGTTGCTTGTTAAGGGTAAATGGAATAGTTGAGCTCTCATGTAGGGTTAATCAATGTATTTCACATCGTGGTAGTTGGGTTGCTTGTTAAGGGTAAATGGAATAGTTGAGCTCTCATGCAGGGTTAATCAATGTATTTCACCTCGTGGTAGCTGGGTTGCTTGTTAAGGGTAAATGGAATAGTTGAGCTCTCATGCAGGGTTAATCAATGTATTTCACCTCGTGGTAGCTGGGTTGCTTGTTAAGGGTAAATGGAATAGTTGAGCTCTCATGCAGGGTTAATCAATGTATTTCACCTCGTGGTAGCTGGGTTGCTTGTTAAGGGTAAATGGAATAGTTGAGCTCTCATGCAGGGTTAATCAATGTATTTCACCTCGTGGTAGCTGGGTTGCTTGTTAAGGGTAAATGGAATAGTTGAGCTCTCATGCAGGGTTAATCAATGTATTTCACCTCGTGGTAGCTGGGTTGCTTGTTAAGGGTAAATGGAATAGTTGAGCTCTCATGTAGGGTTAATCAATGTATTTCACCTCGTGGTTGTTGGGTTGCTTGTTAAGGGTAAATGGAATAGTTGAGCTCTCATGTAGGGTTAATCAATGTATTTCACCTCGTGGTAGCTGGGTTGCTTGTTAAGGGTAAATGGAATAGTTGAGCTCTCATGCAGGGTTAATCAATGTATTTCACCTCGTGGTTGTTGGGTTGCTTGTTAAGGGTAAATGGAATAGTTGAGCTCTCATGCAGGGTTAATCAATGTATTTCACCTCGTGGTAGTTGGGTTGCTTGTTAAGGGTAAATGGAATAGTTGAGCTCTCATGCAGGGTTAATCAATGTATTTCACCTCGTGGTTGTTGGGTTGCTTGTTAAGGGTAAATGGAATAGTTGAGCTCTCATGCAGGGTTAATCAATGTATTTCACCTCGTGGTAGCTGGGTTGCTTGTTAAGGGTAAATGGAATAGTTGAGCTCTCATGCAGGGTTAATCAATGTATTTCACCTCGTGGTTGTTGGGTTGCTTGTTAAGGGTAAATGGAATAGTTGAGCTCTCATGCAGGGTTAATCAATGTATTTCACCTCGTGGTTGTTGGGTTGCTTGTTAAGGGTAAATGGAATAGTTGAGCTCTCATGCAGGGTTAATCAATGTATTTCACCTCGTGGTAGCTGGGTTGCTTGTTAAGGGTAAATGGAATAGTTGAGCTCTCATGCAGGGTTAATCAATGTATTTCACCTCGTGGTTGTTGGGTTGCTTGTTAAGGGTAAATGGAATAGTTGAGCTCTCATGCAGGGTTAATCAATGTATTTCACCTCGTGGTTGTTGGGTTGCTTGTTAAGGGTAAATGGAATAGTTGAGCTCTCATGTAGGGTTAATCAATGTATTTCACCTCGTGGTAGTTGGGTTGCTTGTTAAGGGTAAATGGAATAGTTGAGCTCTCATGCAGGGTTAATCAATGTATTTCACATCGTGGTTGTTGGGTTGCTTGTTAAGGGTAAATGGAATAGTTGAGCTCTCATGCAGGGTTAATCAATGTATTTCACCTCGTGGTTGTTGGGTTGCTTGTTAAGGGTAGATTGAAGCTACAAAGGTCGCGTCTGCGCGTGATACGTGGGGTTTATGTTAGCCAATCGATTCCTTGGCTTATCACCTTACACCAGTCCAAGCCATGAGAGTTGTAGCAACTAACCGTCCAAAAACATCAGGACCCGCGAAACGTATTTCTATTTACTTTTCTCTTAAATTGTTTATTAATTTACTCATTTTACCCATAGCAAAGTCAACATCCTAATTTTACATAAAATATAACAATGTGTAAAAAACAGTACGATACAGAAATATATAAGATTTACTATTTTCATCTTGAGGATCCCTAGGGCAGTTAGTTGAAGTAAACCCACATGACAATAAAAGGAAGATGTTTACAGTTATTTTGATATCCCAATCCTACATACGCTGAACGGTAAACAGAGAATCTAGTATAATTTCATCACATAACTATTATATAATTATTTTTACCTTAAAATCTTATATTTTAAATGCTATTTAACTTGTTTTACCTGCATCGCACAGTTTATAAGTGGAATCGAAGAATTTATTATATTATCGTATTGCATTGTATATGGCTCAAGTAGCTAGAAAACATAATACTCATAATAAGTACTTTTGAAATAAATTGGTACAGGTTTTTATGATCTTTAGTATACAACTAATGTAATGAGCTACCATAGACTACGTTCCATCAATTATAAGTAGCAAACCTAGTTAAATTGTTTTGTGACTAAACATTCAACCTTTATGGGGAAAAGTATTTAGAAGTAATACAACATATTTATATGCTATCCAGAAAAGTCATTTTAATTTTTTTTAACTCATCGTTATAAATAGTGAAACTCGACAAACATGCTGAAGATTTGTAGCTGCATGCTAATGCTGATTTAAAGTGTAGCTTAATACAATTTACAATTTATCTACTGTTGTCATAGGGAGTGCCATTTTGCTCTCTAGAATAATTAGTTTGCAAAACAGCTGAGTTCTCAACATGTTACTTTGTTCGCTTTTCTGGCAATTCTGTTGCATTCAGTTTTCATCCGGAGTGAGGAAAAGTAGTGAGCAAAGCAAAACAAAATTGAACAAATACAAGTTAGGTAATATTTTACCCTCTTTTACCCTAGTTGGGTAATTGGTAATATAAGTTTAGTTTACTTTAATTTAATAATAATACACATGAAATGAACATTACTCGCGACCAATAATGCAGCTCAGTTATAAAATCCTAAACAGTAATTACATTTGTTGAGTACATAATTATCAACTCGTTAAAGTTGCCGCACGAGCCTTGCCGAGTTAACATTTTTCCCTCGTTTAAAAAAGTGCCACGCTGCTCACTAGTTGCACTAATAACTGATTTAATCACAATACACTTTAGTCATGAAAGATTTAATCCTTTCGCATAAAGAATTGTATTCAATTTATGTATGATTTTTATTTATTTAGTAGAAAACATGTAAAGAGGCTATGAATGAATAGAATATGCCTTTAATATGTTAATAGTCAATGGTATTCAATATTTGTTGTTCGCACTTTTAACTCTTACGATAAACCATTATTTTATAGTTAATCAGTTTTTCACTATGCATCTTTGACACTTATTATGTTAATAACTTTATCAAACGTTTTAATGCTTAACTTTTCGAAAAATCCTAAAAGTACTTCAAATGGGTGTTGACTACATACATCTATCCACAATTTCATTCAATCTGCTCTAAGCTCTATAGTATGAGGAAATAATCACAGGAAACGCTTAATAAGTATTAAAACTGAAAGGTTTAATTGATTTCAATACAATGCTGGGAAATGTCAGGGCCACGGCTAGTGAGAGGCGGGCTCGTGGCAGAAACGCACATGGCACCAGAACTCTTGACGCAAGACACATGAACTACAGTACAAGACACACTACGGTACAATATACATGGGCTACGGTACGGTTACAATATACATGGGCTACGGTACGGTTACAATACACATGGGCTACGGTACAAGACACACTACGGTACAATATACATGCACTACAGTACAAGACACACTACGGTTACAATATACATGGGCTACGGTACGGTTACAATACACATGGGCTACGGTACGGTTAAAATACACATGGGCTACTATACAGTACAAGACACAGGAACTAGGGTACAAGACTTCCATAGTAAAGAGTACGAGTTTTTAGTAGTTTAATCCCTGATTTAACAATCACGGTGAGCCTTCTCGGTGGTTTTGCTAAACTTAATTAGGTCTGAAGATTAAATTGCATTGTAGGGTAAAAGAGATATTGGTTCATTTATATATTTTAATACGTTTCGTTTTTAGAACAGTTCTTTTAGAAAGAAAGAGAAAGTTTTTGTTTACACCTTATAGTTCTTCACAGTTACAGAAGATGGCCTTGTACACATCTAGAGATTTAATTTGACAAACTAATATAGTTAGGTATCAAAATCATATTTATGTATTACTTCCTACTAATTGATAAAATATAATGCGCAGGGTGTTTTGTTATTTTCCTCCTAAAAAAGTTATTTGTTCTTTGGCACTAACTCTCGACCTGTCTGTGTTGTAGATGTGGCAAGACATCGAGAATTTCCTGTTAGCACAGCCTACTCCACCTCAAGCTTCACCAGTGAGTATCTGCGGGTCAGGAACGGTTCCGGTGACAACAGTGACAACGGCGACGGCTGCAGTCATCCAGGGGCCCGTGGGGTACCAAGCCGAGGAATTTGTCGATTTGGACATGCTCATCAACAGCGCTGCAGAACAACACAGTCTACAGTACTCTCTGCAGCAAGAGAGGTCTGCAGCCATCAAACTGGAGACTGAACAACAGAGCCTCCAGTACAGGTCGACCAAGTTGGACACTGAAGACCCCGGCATGCAGTACGTGCTTCAACAGGAAAGACCCCTCAAACTGGAGAGTGAACAAGACTTGGTTCTGCAACAAGATCAGGATCAGGTATTGAATTATAACTGCTCCCTGAACGCACTCTGCAAATGTTACCGACTTCTGTTGTTAAATGATCAGTACACAAAAAAAAATGGGAGTTATATTTTAAAATACAATCTTTAATGAATTCTTAGCTGAAAATCATCTATAAATATGTGTTTGGCTGGGAAATTAACCATTAGATTTGTTCAAATCTAAAAAATGACGAGATTAAATTTTAGAGAGTAAATTAAACTTATTCCGTACTATTTGTAAATGCAACGCAAGATGTTAATGATTTAAAGGTGTATACCACTAGAATAATAATTTTCACATCTATTTAGACTAGTGCCACAGGAATGGAAAACCTTAACAGTTTAAATATGTTTGCACTCACTGTCTATGGGTAGTATTACATTAACACACACAAGGTATACATTTCAGTTGAAATCCTCTTATCCTAATTATTAATATCACCACAAATTTATTACATTATTTACTAAATGCTTAGTCAATAACCGTCCTCTACAGAAAACCTGTTGTCATTTATGATTTCATAAACAAATTTCAAGATTATTTTAACCAAATTGATCCTCTCCACCAATATCTCAGATTTCGGATTACGTACACTTATTTATAAGATTGGATATTCTATCCAATCATATAAAGCTATAAAGCTTGATTTCGCTTACAACAAACGATGTAACCAACATTTATAGGCAATGTTTACGATGTTGTAAAATTTTCCCAATCTGTTTGTTACTATTATCTTCTCTGTGTTTGTAGGTGTTCAGAATAGACGCCACTGGATCTGTGACTTTCAACGCATTGATGACGGTATTCCCGAGCCAACAGAGCGAGTACAGCCACGGACAAATGTCTCCCCCAGCGTCCCCTGGCACACTCCAAGACATGGTACCCTCGGAACTAGCGAGGAGACTTAACAGTGACGACCTCCTATCCACCCCTCTGGCTAAGGTCATGACCCCGCCGTCGTCACCGAGTCTAGGAGACATCAGTCAGGACGGACTAGACAAGACCTGCGGCAAGCGAGAGCGACGGACCCTCCCTCGTAAGAAACTGACCACACATTCTTGCTATCATCCTGGCTGCGGCAAGACCTATACCAAATCCTCCCACTTGAAGGCTCATCTCCGCACCCACACGGGCGAGAAGCCGTACCAATGTCAGTGGAAGGGCTGCGGCTGGAAGTTCGCGCGGTCCGACGAGCTCACTCGACATTACAGGAAACACACGGGAGATCGTCCTTTCCAGTGCAGACTCTGCGATAGAGCGTTTTCGCGCTCCGACCATCTCTCGCTGCACATGAAGCGGCATATCAACATCTGAGAGGGATTCTTCCCTCACGTCACCCTCCCCCTTTCCCTCCCACCGCGCGAGCAGAGTCTACGATCACTAGCAATTGAGAGAGACAATAATTACCTAAAGATAATTTAAGTGTCACCGATTTAACATTTATGAGTAGTTTTATCTAACTTTTGAAAAGTAGAAACCAATTTTGCTCGAGCTTGATATTATATTTTGCTAAAGCACTAAAACTCTTATTTAAAGTCCTTTGAACACTTTGTGGGATGTTGCATCTCTCGTGAGGATTGGGAGAAACACTGTAGCTACGAGACCACTGTCGGCGACAGAAGAGCGATCTTGTATTTATTTACCATAATCACGATCGCACTAAACTTGCCGAGTGGTCCTGTGTACAATCAAAACGTGTCATTCATCTTTGCATCTGACATCGATTAGTCTATTGATTTTAATATTGTATTTTGTTGTGCCATTACTGTTACTGTAGGTAAGTCAGCCTGTAATGTGTAAGTTCTTCTTAGAGATACATAAGTAGTCTTGTCAAGAGACTGCTGTCAGGGCTGGCTCGTCTGTCATACTACTCGAAGTTCAGGCTGTTGTATACCAATTTCAAAATCACCCATTTATTTAAATGGATCGTGCCTTAAAACGGGATTTGAATCGTTTCGTCGCTAAAGTGTTTAAAGTTTGTAAGTCTCGTGTGGTTTGACAGGCGAGGACGACCCAGTTCTCTTACCGAACACTTCTTGTACATAGCAATTAGTCGTTTGTTACCATCAATAGTTTTAGAGGTCAACAAAGTTGTGATTTCGCCAAGCGTTTGATCGGTTTAGACGAGTGCAGTTCAGTTGATGGATAAAGCGGTAGATCGACCTATTCACATTCACAGCCCGTTGTATTGTCTTGTGATGGTGACCCGGTCACTAGGGAGCATCAGCCGATTTCATCGCACTTGTGCATTGTGTCACCGAGTGTACTTTGTTCTGTTTTTAAACACGTTATTCAAATTACTCTAAACTATTTACTTTTCTACATTGAGTTCCAAAAGTTTTAATTTTATACTACGTGTAGGAAGTCTCATTTTACTGGTGTAAATAAAAAAAATCCGAAATTTAAAAAGTAAAAGGTTAAAATAATGTTTTTTTTGTTAAAGTTTGAAATTGATTATACTAAGAACAAATCAAATTGATCTTTATTGCCATTAATAAGGACTTGGCATTTACTATTGAGCCATGTTTTCTTTCCCTATGAAGATTGTACTTTCCAGTCCTTGTTGACTTTCTCTTCAAGCTCCTGCTCTTCATCAGAGCTTGATACTGTACGTGTTGTCGTCTGCTACGAGCTATAGCGTCTCATGCTACCTCACCCTAAAAGAGCTAAAGACAAATCTAAAACTCGTATTTATACCGTATATTTTGTTTGATGATTATTAATTTGAACTTCCTTTATATTAATAATACAGTCAAATGCTCAAAGGCTGCGATTTCCTGTGAGGCTCAAAATTGTATTCATTGCCTGACGCCACCCATCCTGGAGCAACCCCTGGCTATGTAATTTAAGCTTAATATGGTATTTCATGTTTTACGTTTTTAAATTAATTGTACTTCTATCATTTTTTGTTAATTAAATTTCTAATCGAATTAATAACCGACCCGCTTTAACTTTAAGATATCGGAGCATTCGAAGATGACTCAGCAACTGATAAAGCTTATCCATCAGCTAGAACTTAGCTCGCGTAAAACCAATCACATTTGACTTCATTAGATCTATGTTAGCCATGTAACCTATTGAAACTTGAAAGTTAATGTGTTTTCGTTATTGCCATATGTTGTGCCATTGTATTTACGGTAGTCCCACTGTTCAATATTGTTTTATAAGTATACAACATCAAGTGCAAAGTCTCATTAGTTTAGTTAAATTTGATTAATTTACAGATTATAATAGTTGCAACAACCTATTCGAATCACTATTTGACTTGCCATTGATTTTATTTACCATTGATCTCATTATCGCTTATGATTCACATTTGAACTATTACACGTTGTGATACGTTTGTTCACTAAGAGTTGTACATTGGATTAAATAATCGAGCATACACCAAAACTTTTATACAATAAATTTAGCTTACTAAAGATTTTTAAATGTGTAAATATAATGCTTGGTTTGCATATTTTATAAATATTGGATGCCGTATTTGTAATTATTGTAATTCAGCTTTTAAAATCAAGCAAATAAAGTTCTAAGTGAATAGTTACACAGGGAGGCAGTTTTGTACATCAATTGCTTTTGTGGCTGAGAACTAGTCGCTGTTGGGAAAGATATCGAGGAAGAAACACAAATCATATTCCAGCCAACTATAGTTTTGTACCCGATATCTGTCTATTAAAATAGACATTTCGTATCCTAATAATTTATAAAAATCTACCAATACAAGCCAATATCTACATGTCATTTTAAAGGCCATATTATATTTATAAACCGTAACATAAATATTGACAACGTTTCATTTTATTATTAATAATTGTGAGATACAACTAAGTATGAAGGTTAGCTGCTAGAAATTATTACCAAACCTGATTAGACCTAATTTAAATTAGTTTAAATTATGAACAATTGTTTTTAGCTTATTTGTCACTTATGAACGAACGGTTTTCGTCATGACATTAATAATTATACATGAACTACGAATCATTTTTAAACTTTGGTTTGACTTCGAATAAAGTTTTTCGGCAAAATCACAATTGTAGCAGCTTTCATAAATACATTACTTGCTTACTTAATTCCGTGAAAATGTGCTAAATCATAGTAAAAAGTTTATATCGAATTATGTTATTGCTAAAATACCATCAGTATTATTTTGTGACAAATACCGGATATCTGATGGCCTGAATTGATAGTTAATAAATTATGTTTAGAATATAAACTAACTTGACTTATCGTGACCAAATACAACAAGACCACAAGGTTATTGAGATCAAAAGATTGAAGTATTTGTTAGCGGAAATATATAACAGTTGAGCTTAATTTTACAGCATTTAGTTTTCAGATTTAAGTGTAAAATAAAAACAAAATTACTGTAGAAACTTTAGATACAATCTAACTGTAATTCATGTGCAATATTTGAACGGATTGCCGTTGTAAGTTTGTGTACTGCGACTTGTTAGGTTGTACATTAAGCTAATATACGATTACAATGCCTAGAGATATACATGTCAACTACAAAGAAAACTGACAGCAACCAATATGTCTTTTAAAAAAAGAAATAAAAGTGGATGTTTTAAAACTAAATTGTAATATTTTTCTTACCCATTGAATGTTTAGTATGTTGTTATCCATGCATATACTATTATCAACAAAAACTTATGGAAAGTAGTTAAAAAATCATGAGGTTTTTTTCAAAATCCCAAAGGTCATTTCGAACGCCTTAGGGTTATTGTCAATTTATGTCAGTTATAGGATTGACTATATAGAACAACCCAAATACCATAGAGCCAATGGAGGTACGAAATACTCACTCATTCTGAACTATTGAATATGGACAATAATTGCCTTTATTGGTCAAGCATTCCTCAGTATGGTGTATAACTCTTTAAAATTATATATAAAAACACACAGTAAGAGCTAACACAAAATATACAACAATATCGTTGATAACCTAGTAAAAACGATACTATTAGGTTACTCTAGGGTTATAAAAATGAAAAAGATAATTACAGTTAGTTATGCAATTTTGAGTTTTCATAACACCAAGTTGAAATTATAAGACTTATTTTTAATTTGAGCCTGGTTTTCAGCTTTCAGTTTTGAGCATGGAGTGCCGTTGTAATCTTAGTTTTTTAAATACTTTTAGCTATAGATTAATTAATCAATAAAACGCTAACTAATATTAAAATATATTTGTAGAAGATTTCATGAATAAAATTTGAATGTATATAGAAATATCAAAATGAATATCATGTAAATTACGAGCTTCAAAGCAAAACTATACATAAACATTTATGCCGCATAATTATGTATACAAAACTATTTGGTGTATTTTAAGCAGTCCAAAAAAACAACTTCTGAAAAATATCATTGTACTATATACAATAATAACATTTATAGGTACTATATTTGTTAAGAAAATTGGTAACATAGCATTGAATAAAATGAAATATAATTACAAATACAATAAATTATTGTATTTTTCCTTACAATAATTTACAATAACATTAAACATTGAAAACGCCTTTATACGTAAACCAGCAATATAGAAGTACTGGAAGAATATATAAATTATAAGAAGAAAATTAAAACAATTGTCATAACAAAATAGTACAGGGACTAGAAACATAAATTTTAGAGAACATAATGTTCAAACATTCATAGCTGAACATCAATTCTGGCCTACGTTTGCTGTGTTAACCTGGCGGGTTTTGGGTAACCTGTTAAAAAAATCACAAATTTAAACTGTTTTTATTTTTTAATATGGTGGAAAATTCACAATGTTTCTGCTCACACTAAACAAAACCTTTCTTTTATAACTAGTTTGAAATATATCCAAATTAGAATTTCTCTTAACAAAAATACAAATTGTAAATACTATAATTCACTATATCTTTCTTGACAAATCGATACTTTCAGCTTCCTCCTGCGTATTCGTGATCAAAAACCAATATTTATATTTTTATGCAACATAATAAGAGCAAAGGAAGTTAAAATAGCACATATTGTATAAACAAAACGAAGACTTTATATTTCAACTCATAGAAATAGGGAAATTTACCATGCATTTAACAATACGCATAATTTTCAGTCTCAAATCAATTGTGACATCATTGTCATTGTCATTGTAACATCTTATATTCAGCTTATATTCAGTTTATAATCATGGTTAATAAATGTGTTTATTATCCACTTGCAGAAAATATATTGAAAGATCAAACCATAATGTATTTAATTTGTACCGAAATTGAATTATATTAACAGAATATGCAAAGCATTGATGATTATGGTACCAAATCGGAATCTTAAATGAAGGATCTTAATCACTTTCAAACTAATTATTTTATATTTTAGACACCCACAAAATTTTTTTATATTTCTCTGATAACTTTCGAATTTGTTCATTAAAAGTGGTCTAGTACCTCCTAATTTATGAATACATGTTTTAAAAGTACAGAGAATCAAATGCACAGGCTAAAACATTGTGTATCGCGGATGTATACATGCACATTTACAAAAAAGTAACTGATGTTTTGACTTAACTTATTCTTCCGCTAGCAAAGCTCGGTCAAATTTATACGTATACAAATTCCAAACGAAGCCTTTATAATTCTTCTTGAATTTGGAGAAATGTACAATATCAGAAAGAAGAATGCTATTCATCATTATGTATAATGTTCCTTTTTATTCATGGACCAACAATTGATTTATAATTTGCTACATTTTGAAGAGATTCTGCTGCCTGATCGTAGCATATTTTCTAAAGGTAAGTTCCTTATTTTCTTGTATATCAATTTAAAGCGAAAGCTGGTTTCGTAAAGTGTAGAATCTATGGACCGTTTTTAGTAGTAGCTCTGATTTAAGTCCTAGAAACCTTTCTTACACAATCATTCTTTGACCTGCACTGCCTAGCCCTAGAGTGTCCAGTATCCAGGTCCAATTTACTGTATATTGTTAGGCGGTGATATATAGACCCGCTGTGGGTTCAATGCAGGAAGTTGCTGATTGACTTGTTGCTGATTAACCCAAACCCTTGTCAGATGGCCAATTCCCGGTGGTCTAGTATAGAACCACCAACTAAAAATCAAGCATATACAAAATTGTTAACTTTAAGAACCATTAATACCATCACCTTGTTATCAACGATCACATTGGACCAGTTTCACCAATTATTATTATTTATTTTATTATTATTATATTATTATTATTGTGATTGGCACCAAGGGTTTTATGTGATCGTTGCTTCCAAACCATACCTGATATCTCTGCTCGACTAATATTTTTTTTCGACTAGACTACAATCTTTAAAATAAAAAATCCAAGACACTTACCATTCAACTTATTTTGATATCTCTTATAGTTTTCGAATAAAACAGCTGGCACACTTATATCAATCACCCTGTATGAAACATGAAGGTGCGATGTAACTTCGGGCAACCGGAAAAAATGCTTTGAAAGCTTGGCTGTCTTACAGTTCCATCACTAATCATGTTTAATCCGTCTGTTGCACATGTGAAACGTCAAACTAATCTTCACAAACGATGGATATAACACCCGAGTATTGTAATGTGTATTTTGTATGCAATCACACATGTTCAATATAGATCAACTTATTTTAAGCATAAATCCTATTACTTTAGCATTCGGTTGTTCCAAGCCTTGCATAATATATCAGAGAATCCAGAACTTTTCGGATTAAGACAAAAGTGTAGGCAGATCTAGTTAAGTAAAGTTAATAATTCTTTGACTCAAAGGACTATTCATGGATGAAAAAGTCATGTATGTATTATATATGTATGTTAAACGATATTCCGAAAAATAATAACACCCACACCACAGCAAACTTGCAGACTAAGCGCATTCCCTTAAACCTGGTTTGATTTTCACAAAAAAATTCCCTTAAAATTGTCAAATTTATTTTGTATTTAAACATTATTTTTAATGAGTACTTAGGTTCGCTACTACAGGGAAGGTAGTTAAGTTTTTTTTTTTATTGGAATATTAATAGCCTAGAGACCTTTCAAATAAACAAATTCGTCAAATGGATTAAAATATATCCCTAAATAGATTGAAAACTTTTAGTTGTACAACAACGCTTCAACATAATAGATTATTTGTTTTTTCAAGCTCTACAAAATGGTTTAGAAAGAATAAAATTGTATGTATTAGGGATTGAAAACGGGAAATAACCACCAATAATAAAGGGTCATAATATTTCCGATCATGCTGGTTTGCGAACATGTTCGAATGAGCATAATGTAGGTTTAACGTTTATACTAATTTTCATCAAGATCGGAAGATCTTTACTTAAGTTGTCGTGTTAACGGACACATAATTTTATATGAATAAATAGGGTGTCCCTGAACTCTCTACCGACTTTTAAGGTACCATACCTTTGCCAAAGACAACAATTAAAATTTCACGTTAAAAATTTCCTAAACCCAAAAATTACTCGTAGAACCGCCAATAAATAAATAAATAAATATACATATAAATAAATAATATAATATAAATACATAAATAACACAAAGACCGTAAAAAAAAAAATAAAAAATAAAAAGAGTAAAAAAAGATTTAAAAAATCATGTTTAGTTTTCAAATTGGCGGCTGCTTAAATATGTTTAACTGAAATAACATAAAAATACGCGCGTACGTAAACAAAACTACTGTAGCACATGTTTCATTCAGGCAATTTACCTACAATTCTAAAAATACCTTTGACATCCTTGTTAAAATTGTAGTCACAAAGTAAACTAACTAAGTTCAATGGAGCCAGAGACAGTTATATGTGCTGTGTACATGAATGGTTTAACTCTCACAGTGAGAAAAAGATAGAATATAGCATATAGAACGTTGGATTGTAGAACACCATGCGAGTTTCTAATTCGACAACGTTAATGTTAACTTAGAAATGGCTAAAGTTGGTCCAAATAGATCAAATATATACTTACAAAATACAATCATAGCATGTTTACATTCATTGATTGTTAAAAAACATTATATTTTTTGTCATTACAACACTCATAGTAATACGAGTCAAAGATCCTCCCCTTAAAAGAGTAAATAAATTGTTCTAGCTTGTAAGTTGTTTTTAATGTAAATTTTAACAATGCCTTATAGAAACAGCTGATTAGATTATTTAATACCTAACAATCTTTCCGGACTTGTGAACCTGTTGACCAATCTAAATTGGACGTTATGGTAGTTTTAAGTAAACTGGCCTTTGCAACCGTAGGTGAACCATATCCCAAGATTTGGCGAGGACTCGAGGTTCGTTCCTGACATACGTCTTGTCCACGGATACTGCTAATGTCATATAATTACACGCTATTGCCACTGGACTCATGGTTTATTGTGACCACCAGTTGTTTTTCATCAAAACCAGTTTGACATGTTTTGACTCTCAGATAGACATAATTTTTATAATCCAGAAGTAGGTCGTGTGTTGAGTTATTGGACCGCTTGGGAAAATATTCTCTTACACGATTAAACTTTGCTGTACGTAATTATAAGGAATGTGCAGTGTGCACACTACATGCTACTACATGCTAGGTTGTAGAACATGCGTTTGTTGAGAGTTCTGA